TTTGGACCGGCCATCTGACGAGGATTTTCAGCCAGAGGGGGAGCCTGGTCGTAGACTGAGGGTCTTTCATCGGGTTGCGTTCGCCACTGGGGAGCGTTGGGGTCTGGTTGACCCGGTTGCGGTTGGTTCTGGTTATAGTAGTTGTCTGCGGGCGGGAAGCCGGAGTTCTAAATCGAGAGGGAAAGCGCAGAAGAAGGTGAAAACAGCTAAAAGCCCAGACCAATGTTTCTGTTGCTGCTTTCAGCTAGTATCTATGTCGGAGGTAGGGTGTGACGTCTTTACCATATGGAAATTATACTACGTGTTTGTAGAATGGGCATTACGTAGTTATTCCACGGAAGTTGATTGTCTACGGCTAAAATGTTGATTAAAATTTAGGTTTGACCCTAAAAAGTCATGTCCCAGTCACCCATATCCATGTCATGCGCTTACTGATTTCCAAGCGTTCAACGTCATCAGACCATTTCAAAATTAAAAACAAAAACAAAGAAAATTTACTGATTAGAATATGTGAGTGTGCGCGAGGGAGAGATAGTGAGAAAACGTACAAAAATCAGAAAGTGCGATGATGAACAAAGGTACGGTTGGAACAAAAATTCTGCAACATGATGATTTACGGACTGCATTGTAGAGCAGACTCGTTTAGGCAATAATGAAAACTATCTGACGGCAAAAAACATCTTCGGGCTTTTAAGTCATATTTAGAACAGTGAATAACATAAAATGCAAAAATGATACCTCATTTATTCCCAGTTGTGAAAAGTTCAATCAACGTTTTCGTATTGGAAACACGAATTTTTGCCGTGGAAGCATACAAGAAAGCATAGTTGTATAGCTGCATAATTTGACCCCTTGACAGTCAGAAGGACTTCGGTGGGTAGATAACACTTTCACTCAAACCAACACTGAACTGCACAAAGACGGCTAAGTGGATCCTGTCTATATTGCAAATCAGCAAGCGATCCTTTATGGAATTGGGCAAAGACAGCTTTTCCAAATTAATTGGGAATTCGTACGACCGCATTTAGAATACGCTATACAGGCATGGATACCCTGGTCTATAAAGGATTGTGCCGACCGAGAGAAAGTCTAGGGGCGGGCGACAAAATGGTCAAATGCCCGGAAACACTGCCCCACGCAACCGGACGGTCAACCCTCGACCAATTTCCCCTTTGCCACAGGTAACCACTAGATCTCAAATGAAAGACCTGCATTATGAAATGCTTTGTTCTCAACAACCCTTTCACTCAGGTAACAAGTCCACTTTGCATGGACATCCCCCAAATCTAGGCATACATAAAGTAAGGATCCGCGGACGCAGGGTTTCCTTAGTAACACAGTGGTGGCAGCATGAAACGTTCTGTTCGATATTACCGTTCACTTCACCTACGTGAATTCATTGA